TTCTCAGCAATGTCAGCTCTTTTGCTAGAGGAGAGAAGGGTCTCCTTTGTAGCGCAGGTGGAAGTTCTCAAATCCGTTAGTCTGTACCTGAGGCGCGCTTCTGAGGCTCTGAGATCATCCCTCTCCTTAATCACACTTTCCATTGTAAGAAGGACCAGCCAACCAGCTTCCCTATACTTGTCATCCTTACAAAACTCCTGGAAAATATCAAACATACGATCACTCAGAGCCTCTCTTTTAACAAGCACCTCATCTATCGGTGGTGCCACTTTACACATCATCTTTTCTACTTCACACCATGGATTAGTAGGAGTAGCAGACTCATCCATGCTTTGGGGTGTTGAAGTAGCATTACCAGTGTTAAGACAAATCAGGCTGGAGAGCCAATTTAAGAAGCCCATATTTATGATTTTATTTCTCTAGAAGCACTCCTGGTACCAAAATGTGCTAGACAGGGTTCTCTAGAGAGATAAAACCAAATTGCTGATAATTTTATATATTTATTTATAAAGATAATTAGATATATAACACAAGAAATGAACTGTTAAATTATATACAGAGTTGGATATATAATACAAGAAATGAACAGTTAAAATATAAAGCAGTACAAATGGCTCAGTGCAACTCACTCCCGTGAAAGAGAGTTGTGAGAGACTAGCAGTGAGGAAATGAAGGATGATCACATCAGAACACAGCATGGAGGATGACTAAGTCCTTACGTAACTGCCAGACCACAGAGTCATGCCCCTGACAAGCTAGCAAGCAATCTTTAACCTCACAGCTGGGGTTTCTCTGCCCTCACACTCCAATGTCTTTCAGGCCAGATGTACGTCCTTAAATGCACAAAATCATCTGATAATTTTTGTTTTCTTTTAAAAAAAATTATTTTACTATCATAAATGCAAAAATGTTGGAAAATGAGAAAATTGGTAAGCAAGCAGTTGTCACACTATTTGTCTCTTCAGTAAGCAATATTAAAATAATCGTAACCACGAAATTGCTTTAATTTCTTTATTACTTTTCAGCTCTTGAAATTAATGGTTAAAAAAGACATGGACAACTTATAGCTGCTTACAAAATGGTTAGAAAAATGTGATTTAAAGATTCAAAAGCTAATGGTATTACCTGAGAGGAAGTAGTAGAATTATAGGAGGGAAACAGAATTGAAGAGATATCAATGCCTTCAACCTATATACAATCAAGATTCATGAGCAGAAATGGATGGAATGAGGAATAGAAATTGTCAGCAGATTGGTTAAAGTTAGTAACAAAAATAATACAAATATAACTTTCAGAATTAGATGCAGCAAAGTGAAGCAAATTCTCAATTGTTTCCTTTTTAAAAAAAAATGTTTCCTTTCTTTAAAAAAAGCTTCAGTAAGTGAATGTGGCCAGAGTACCAGCAAATACATACCAGCAAAACTATGAAGTTGGAAAATCACGGCTGGGTGTCAAAGCTTGTGGGTAAAACTTTGATGAGGAATGAGATATTTACACCCCTCCACCCCCAACCAGTCTCCCCACCCACTGTTGATTCCGTAGGAACTTTATATTGAAGGAATTTTTCACACAGCACCTTAATCAGAGGATCAAGTGTTACCAGTAATGGGAGAAACCAACATCACCTGCCTTTGGAACACTGGCAAAGAAATACCACTTGGGTGATATTCCTCCAAAATGACATAATCTGAACCTAGTCATGAGAAAACATGAGGCTACTCATTCAAGAAAATTGGTGACCCACACTCTTTAATAATGTCTAGTTAATGAACCGTAAAACCAAGGAATGGTTCCAGATTAAAGATGAATGCAAGTATATGCCTCTCATAGGGAATATTTTCCAATTAGAATAATTCTTGTTAAAAATTTTTTTAAATCATTTTCTTGAGGGCTCTTACAGCTCCTGTAACAATCCATACATCCTTTGTGTCAACCACATTTGTACATATGCTGCCATCATCCTTTCCAAAAATATTTTCTTTCTACTTGCGCCCTTGGTATCAGCTCATTTTTTCCCTCCCTCCCTCACTCACTCTCCCAACGCATTAACCCTTGTTAAATTATCAGTGATTATTTTCATATTTTATAATGTCTGCTGTCTCCCAGCACCCATGTTTCTGTTGTTTGTCACTCTGGCAGGGTGGTGGTTATACATTGATCACTGCAATCAGTTACCCCTTTCTCCCCCCATTTTCCCCTATCCTCATGGTATCACTACTACTCCATTATTCTGAGGGGTTTATCTGTCCTGGATTCCATGCGTGGAGAGCTCTATCTGTACCAGTGTACATGCTCTGGTCTATCTGGATTTGTATGGTACTACTAGGGTCATGATAGTGGGGGCAGGAGGAAGCATTAAGGAGCTAGAGGAATGTATGTTTCATCGATGCTATACTGTACCCTGGCTAGCTCGTCCTTTCCTTGTGATCCTTCTGTGAGGAGATGTCCAATTGTCTACATATGGGCTTTGGGTCTCCACTCCGCCCTGCCTCATTCCCATCCATAAGACTGTGTTTTGGAGTTTCTGATGCCTGATACCTGATCCTGTCAACACCTAATGATCACATAGGCTGGTGAGCTTTTTCCATGTGGGCTTTGTTACTTTCTAGCTAGATGGCTGCTTATTTCTCTTCAAGCCTTTAAGACCCCAGATGCTATATCTTTTGGTACCGGGGCACCATCAGCTTTCTTCACTTTTTCTTATGCACCCATTTTGTCTTCAGCGATTGTGTCAGACGGGTGAGCATCACAGAATGCCAGGGTATTGGAACAAAGTGTTCATGTGTTGAGGGAAGACTTGATTAGAGGCCCAATATCCATCTGCTATCTTAATACTTAACATAAATATATGTACATAGATCTATATCCCTATCGCTATATATAAGTATATTTACATATGTACGTGGCTGTTTTTATACCTCTATAAATGTCCTTTGCCTCCTAGTTCTTTCCTCTATTTCCTTTTACTTTCCTCTTGTCCCACTACCATGTTCAACTTTCATTCGGCTTTCTGTAATTCCTCTCATTTTAAAATTTAATGCTGCAGGTCTGTCTCTTACTTCACTGGTTGAGAACTGTAATTTCTTTATTACATTATATCTCTTTACAGTTTTGATCCTTGTTTCAATCTGTAATATGTAAATATATATATTGATCTAGTGAAGAGAAATGTGTGGTAACAACCCTTATTCCATAATGTGAAATTGTCATTAATAAGGGTTTTGAGGGGAGGTAGATTGGGGTTGGTACTGAATATTACTGGATGACTGACCCTAAATCAGAAAATGGGGGCAGAGGCCTGTAGTGAGACTAGGATTAAAAATCCCATGGAATTTCTTTTAGAGGGAAAGTGGGAGTTCCTGGGAATGATAATGTTTATGTTTCACAGATATTAAAAGGTCAACTAGGACTTTTTAATGGTTGTGTTTTACTTGTAACGTTACTTGTAACTCAGGTGGTTACAATTGCTCAAAACCAAAAGGGTCAGGTGCAAAATCCAGGCCCAGAAAGCTACAAGATTTCAGAAACTCATCTGCAAGCAGGGCGCTGGGATTTCTGTGTTCTGGCACTGGCCAGTCGGCTGGGGACCTTAAGATGAACACAAGGAAAGGTTGCCCGGCCTTGTGCCACCTTCATGGTCATTGTGCAAGTCAGTTCCTTCTTGTGGCAAGTGAGTGAAAGCACCCCATTCAGGGTTTCCCATAATACATTTTTTTGCTGACCCCTCTGCTTTATCAAACGTCAGACATACTCACGTGTTTAGCAGTTAGTCTTCTCTGTGACCTGTTGAAAGTAAGCAGGCCGAAGTCTTGCCAGCCTGGCTTCCAAGGGGCTTTCTGGCTGTAGGTCTTACAAAACAGTTCGGCTCCTTCTTGGGACAGTCCACGGGAGAGTCATTTCTCGCGTACGAACCGAGGTTGGGTGGCCGGCCAGACGAGGACTATCTGAAGTACAATTGTGAAGAAGGGGCTCAGGGTGACAACTTAAGCCAGGCACGGTTTCATATTCGAAGTAGGACGTCGAGAGGTTACTTTTCCTGTAGCCTTCCCCCTCAGTTACAACTGTCCCTGAAGCCTCTGAGCGAAAACCTTGCCCACTTCGCCTCACGGCGTCCTCCGCTTCCATAACCACACTGAGCCTGCGCAGACGCGAGCGGACACACGCATGCGCAACGCCGGCCCAATCGGAATCCCAAACCCGCGGGCCTACAAAGGGTGGGGCTAACTTCGAGGAGGGGTGGAGTCTCAAAGCCAACAAACGGACGCGATTGGTCGGCCGCAGGGTATGCATTTCTTTATGGGAGGAGCGGCGCCCTGAAGCCACGCCCCGTCGTCGGTTCTCCTAATTTGGGAAGGGCCGGCCGCGGGCGGGGAGTGGGGCTGGGAGCCGCCGCGTGTGCGCTTGCGCCAAGTGCCGGGACAGGGCGTGTTCCTGATTTGGGTGTGCAGTCTTGCCCCGAACGAGTGCATCTCTTGCGGCCCGAGTTTGTTCTGCGGAACCTGTGATCCCTGCCCTCCCAGCTGTTAGGTGCTGCCCTCGGCGGTGAGTGTGGCATGGCACTCGGGTTCACTACTTGGCTTCTTTGCTGAGGGCCTGGAAGGGTATGGGACCCTTCCCACCCGCTTCTCTGCCTGACCCATCCCCCTCCCTGCCCGGGCTCTGCTCTGCGGTGTCCACTTTCCAGGGCCGGGAAGATGGGGGGTGCCAGCAGAGGGGTTCTTTCCTTTCTGTCCCCACACCCTCCTGGCCATCGCCCACGTGTTTTCTTGTTGTCATTTGATATAGACCATGTCTAAATCTCTGAAAAAGTTGGTGGAGGAGAGCCGGGAAAAGAACCAGCCGGAAGTGGACATGAGTGACCGGGGCATCTCCAACATGCTGGATGTCAACGGCCTGTGTAAGTGCTTGGCCAAGACCTTACCCTTGGATGGCAGTCGAGGGGGTTCTAAATGCCCCCAACCACCTGCTGATTTAGAGCTCCTGGCTGCTTGTAACTATCACTTGCCTGCAGGAGTTCGGTGCAAAAAGTTTGCGCTCACGATTTGTTCTTTTCCCACTGAGAAAGAAGCCTGAGCTCCACGGTGAGACTCACAGTTAGCTGCTTTGCCGCCTCCGTTGTCTAGGTTGGTTAGTGGCATTTGGGTGGCGTTTGTAACAATCATTTTAATAATCTCTTTAATTGATTTATTTTAAGCCACCCCCACCCCCTTGTCTGTATATAGTCTTTGGTCCATGAACAAATACCGACTGCACAAAGGTACTGGGTTGATTGGCGTTCTTGACTCATTTTCTGGGATCTCTGCTTTCCTGCCTTAATTTAGTCAGGCTTGTGTTATTGAACTGCATAGTGCTTACCCTGTGGGTTGCTGACTGCAAGGTCAGCAGTTCCAAACCACCAGTTACTCCACAGGAAAGAGATGGGGATTTCTACTCCTGCAGTGAGTTAGTCTTGGAAATGCACTGGGCAGTTGTACTGTGCCCTATAGAGTTAGTATGAATCTGTATCCACTTAATGACAGTGTGTTTCGTGTTACTGCGATGTCTTCCAAACGTGCTCACTTAGCCCTGTAGTTTCATCACTATCTTTCTTACAAAGTCATTTGCCTATGTTTTTCATTTTCCTATTTTATGTTAATCTTTCCCTTTAAAACAATCATTGCAACTTCAGATGCCTTCAGCAGTCATGAACTCCATAATGTGTATCCAATCGAAAAGGGTTAAGTGTTAGGCTCCGACCCACCAGCTGCTCTGTGGGAGAAAAATGAGGGTGTCTCTTTCCGTAAAGATTTACAGTCTTAGAAAACTCAAAGGAGCCCAGTTCTGTACTGCCCTAAAGGGTTGCTGCCACTCAGAATCAACTTGATGGCAGGGAGGTTTAAAAAAAGTTTTTAAGGGGGAGGGAGGCTGGGGAAAAGAGGAGCGGTTACCAAGGGCTCAATAGTAAATAAATGGTTAGAAAATAATGATGGCAACATATGGACGAATGTGCTTGATACAATTGGTGTACGGATTGTGACAAGAGCTGTAAGACCCATCAATAAAATGTTAACAAAGTTTTTTTTTTAAAAAAATCTTACACAAAATGTGGCAGCTACTGTACCTGCTACCCAGTTCCAAAGAGTTGTTAGCATGTAGAGACATTGGCCAGCAGGATTGGCGTATCAGTACAACTCCTAGTGACCTTGTGTATAAGAGAAAGAAACAGACCAGTCCTGTGCCATGTGCCGGTGTTGCTAGGTCTTATTTTTACATGTGAATTGGGTAAAGGATAACAGAGCCAATTTCCCGGTCAATAATTTGCATGTATTTTGTGTCATGCCATTGATTACACCACCCAGAATGTACCATCACTGACCCTGATTTCTTGCTGGGTTTCTTTCCCATTCCGTTCCCCTTCGTTCCCAACCCTTCCTGCCTTCTGCATGTGGGGCAAATGCTGCTCTTTTGGTCACCGGTGGTTGATGGTTCTAAGAGGTGTGTGCTGCCCTAGGGTTATTGCATACCTTACATACTGGTCGATAGTTTATTTGAAAACAGAGTGAGTTCAATTCCAGGATGAAGGTTGTCCAAGAGTCACATCTTTGGGTCCCACCAGATTCTACTAGGCTCACAAGCCTGTTCTCTTTTTATTAAGAAGCCTGTGATGCAAATTCTTCTATGACATTTTCTAATTTTTAAAGATTAGTAATTAATTCCCATACTTGGAAAACACGGGCAGGTGAAGCAAAGTACACAGAGGCTAACCATGACCCTGATCCGAACCTTCTCCTTTAAACACGTCTAGTTGTCAGTGATGCTCCACGCTGTCTGGTGTGACGCTCGGTCTCTCTGCCCACACCCCCTAGATCTGTCCTGTGGACATTTCCCATCACTGAACACAGAACTCTTCCTGAACCAGACACATCCTCTGATAACCTTGTCGCCTTTAAAAATACTCCTCTTCACTGAAAATCTTCTTATTTACCTGTGGCAAGTCAGCTGGGCCATCCTAACCAATGGGACACTTTCTGTCACTTTCTCCTCTCTGAAACTGGGCGTGTCTTGCTCATCTCTTGTTATATAAGATGGACTTCAATTTTTTTTAATACTTTTATCAGGGGCTCATACAACTCTTATCACAATCCACACATGCATCAATTGTGTAAAGCACATTTGTACATTCATTGCCCTCATCATTCTCAAAACATTTTCTCCCCACTTAAGTCCCCGGCATTAGGTCTTCATTTTTCGGACTTCAATTTTTAATTCCACCTTTTAATTCCGTTTTCCACGAACTTTTTGAAGCCCCCTTATAGATGTTGTTCTGGCAGGAATTAAGCTGTGCAGTATTTATGTTTGTCTGCTTTTTAATCGTGTCTCAAAAGTGCTTGATGGACAGAAGAAAGCTGGATGAAGGGGCTGGAGAGTTTTTGAGATCCAGACCAGGGTGTGGCTAGGAGAGATGTCCAAGAGACCTCATAAATGATGGCTTGCTTATTGGGCATGCGGATAGCGGAGCCAGGTGTTCTAACTCCGTGGTTTGTGTCAGATTGGGCTTGGAGCTATTAATTGTGCTCAAGTTTTGCTTCTAATCATAGCAACCCCACGTGACAGAGAAGTACGGCTCCATATGGCGTTTTAGACTGTAATCTTTATAGGAACAGCTCACCAAGCATGGATTGCTACCGATCCTTGTTAGCAAAAGGAAAGGAGATGTAGTTATAGACAACTTGCATTTGGTAACTTCCGGCAAGAAGTGTGCCATGAAACTTCGGGTTTGCACTAGGCTTCCTGGTAGATGTTGGCTTCTCAGTGGTGATAGATTCTTGGTGTTGATAAGTACACAGCAGTCTGGTACTGAACTGGCTATATGGGATCTGGGTGTGCTTCCAGCTTCTTCTGCCCAGCCATGCTGCCATCTTGAATGCCTGGGGGTGGGAGGTGGGGTGGATGGGCACTGTTGCTGCAGAGCATTGTTTCCTAAAGTGGGTGAGACCACATCCTGAGGGGTAATGGAATGGTAGTGGTTGGCGAGGGTGGGGTGGGTGGGCACTGCAAAAGGGAATAGTTATACTCTATCCTAGATTACAGATCAAACCTTTTTCTTTTTTTCTTCATTGATTCATACTTTATTATTGGGTAACAAATATTCTCATAAAAAAGTAAGCATGGGTTTTTTTGTGTGTGTGATTAAAATAACCTTCCAAATCATACCTTTTAAAAATGCTTCAACAGAATTGCCTAGAATATGATTAGCCAAGCTTCACTGCAAATAGCCCATATTCAAGTCATATTTATAAAT